GACTATTGACACACCAAACAGGAAAAGGCCAGAAGCAAAGAAACGATGGGAACTCGTAAATCTCAGAAATATAAATGACAATAACAAGGATAAGATACATGAACGTTTGAAAGATGTATTTCACAAATTTCCCCCAAAATTGGGAGACATGAAAGAGGAATGGAGCCACTTGAAAGCATGTGTGTACAGAGCATTAAAAGAAGAGTGCGGCACCAGGAAAACAAGAGGGCAGAAAAAGAAAACAACTATATGGTGGAATGACCAAGTGAAGGAAGCCGTCCAACTGAAGAAAAAGGCATTCAAAAAATGGTAGAAATCAAAGACGGAGGAAGATTACATCCTATACAGAAAGGACCGCCGCTATACATCAAGGGTAGTAAAAGAAGCTAAGAACATATCCTGATCAGTATATGGAGAACAGCTGGTAACAAAATGTAAAGAAAACCCTTGAGAGTTTTACTAGAGAGTTAAAAAAGCATGAGGATGCGGGAAGAACCATTCAACCAAACTGAAATAGTCAATGATGAGCACGGAAAACCCTATTTTCAGAAAGCCAAAGATTAAGGAAAGATAGAAACGAGGAGCTGCTGAATCCTACAACAGAAACAACAGCAAACAGCTTCTCACCGAAAGAAACCAATCCAGAACCATCACCACTGCAGAGTGAAACCCAACATGTTATAAAGAATAGCCCCACAAACAATGCGATAGGCGTTGAAAACATCACAGCAGAAGAGATCAAACTATACGGCCATATCGGAGAACTCTGGCTATGGAGGATATTTAACCTGGCCTGGGCGACAAAAACAACACGGAGCCTACAGAGGAATATCCCTTCTCAGCCGTGTGGATATAACGTTTGCCAAGATACTGGAAATGAGAATGAGACCAATTGTAGAGACTCAACTCAATTAATCCCAGTTTGGCTTCAGAAAAGGCAAGGGCTGCACTGGCGGTTTTTTGCATTCGGACAGTTGTGTGAGACTGTCATTGGACATGACAAGACCTCAATATCGTCTTCGTGGACCAAGAAAAGGCGTTCGATAGGGTAAATAGATGTCAACTTTGGGAAGTCTTAGAGGTTTTAGTAGCGGTTTTACGGCACCCGCAACTGCATAAGGTCACATGAGCGCCAAGGGGTGGATGTCAACAGAGAAGTCCTTACAGGGAATCAAACTTACTCTGCTCACCTTTCTAGCTTCTACAGCACAAAGTCTGCTTAGACTATCAAGGCACCCCGGAAACAGCGGGTCGCAAGAGTGTGACAAACATACAAAAGAAGTAGAGGAAAATGACGATAGTAACGATTAGGAAAGAAAAAGGCGCAATTCCCTGTTGTAGTTCAGGCATAGTTATGAGCATGCCATTGTTCGATCAGCCCATGTACGATTCTACTGTGCATTAGAACGTCCCCTGATTTGGAATGGCATAAAGACACTTCAGTCAGTGGCATCGCCCCGGGGGGGGGGGGGGGGGGGGTTAGTCTTAGACTTAGAGTAATATGGTGTTAAAGGACAATTGCTCAAGAACATCATGGCACTTTATAAAAACAGCCTGTGTGCCGAAAGGTCAACAGAAGGACTATCGGACTATTTCCCCATCACGTCTGGGGTGAGACAAGGGTGTGTTCTCTCTCCGCTTCTCTTCATCACTTACACGGATAAGATCACGAAAGCAGCAAATGTCAACATCAATGAACTGAGCGAGCTTCTATTTGCTGATGACCAGAGTACATTAAATACAGATGAAGAGGAATCACAAAAAACACACCACAAAATTAATTAATGAGGAATGTAAACACCTAAACATGAAAATCTTCATTTCAAAAACAGAAGTTATGAAGGCAAGAAAAAACCCAGGGAAACTCAACATCCTTGTTGACGGAACACAACTCCAACAAGTAGAGGAATTTTAGTATTTGGGAAGCATCTTCTCACTAGATGGGCGTATGAACAAGGAAAAAGAACTATGAAGGCAAATGCAGTGACCTACCAGATAGCACCCCTTCTCAGTCACAAGAACATCTCAACTGAAGTGAAATCCCAGCTCATCAATAGAATCTTCATACCAACATTAATATACCAGTGCCAAACATAGTCTCTAAACAAGGCATGAGAAAGGAAAATCAATGCACGCGAAATTAGATGTCTCTGCAAAACCACCAACGTCACCAGAAGAGACCGCATAAGGAACGAGACCGTACGTCTACCAGTAGTAAATTTACTAGAGCATCAAAGAGTCAAATGGTTCGGACATCTAACCAGAATGCCCCTGAAACAACTAGCGGCTAGAGCTAACCACACCTGCGAATCCAGCTTTAAATCAAGAGGAAGACCAAGAAAGACCTGACTGGGTGGGGTTAAAAAGGCCCTGGAACAATATAACTAATTAGCATATCTATCACAGACGCCGAAACCTGCACCTCCCCTCGACATCCTAAGGATACCAGAGGAAGGAAAACGTAAAATAAAGTAAGAACTGAGGAGCAATATAAGTGCTCACTTTGTTGCAACTGGCATCTTCCTTCAGGGTTGTTTCATCAGTGGAAAAGAGTAATAATAGAGAAAATGTATGAAGTCGAAGAGCAGGTAAAGTGGGATGGAGAAGAAAAGAGAGGTACGGTTATGAAAATAAGAGGGAAATGGGAACGCACGAAACCACACACACATAACGCTCGCCCACACACACACACACAGAAACACAGAGAGAAACACTCACGGACCCACAGACCC